TTTTATGCAAAAGTTTTACAACAAAATCAGCTAAATTCATTCACGTTTTTAGAATAATTATTTATCAATTTTTTGTCAAAATTTTCGAAAAAAATTATTAAATATTTATTCAAAAAAATATCATTGATGTCAGTAAACAGAAATAATTTTATTGTAAATCTTTTGTATAAAACATTTTTTTATATCTCGAATAGTTTTCGAGATATAGCGAAGAAAGCTGAAAATCGCTTCACACATGAAGCCTGATTTCACCCCTCAAAACTCTATGTTGGCAGCAATTTTCAGAACTTTTTAAAAAAATTATTATTTTTAAAAATATTTATGATAGATAGAGGTAATTTTATTATGAAGCTACTTGTGAGTATAAATGTCTATCCAAAGAAAATGATAAAATGCTATAATTTCCACACCACCTGTCATGAGGTAAATAGCAGGGTGTGCTTTTTTTATAGTGGTTTCCCCAGTAGGCCTATTCCGCTCTAATTTTTTTATGCACGAATTATTTCAAATGCCGTCATTCCTCCGTTGACTACTTTGGAACATTTAAAAATTTATATTTAAAAAGATTTATTATTATTATAAAAAAATATATTATTATTATTACATAAAAATATATTCGCGCGAGTAATATTTAAAAAATGCTCTTATCAAAATATTGTAAAATTACAACATCCTTCTCCTCATTTTTCTCAATATATCATTAATTTAATGATGCAGTTAAATCATTTAACTCAAGAAGATGTTTTAATTTGACTCTATAATTTATTTACTTACATACGTTAATTATGTTAAAATGAACGTTACTTATGTTAAAATAAGTACAGAAATAGACTGATTAACATTTTGATACACATGGAAGTAAAAAGATAATAAAATGTTATTTAACTCAAGAAACTCGGGGTTGCCATTGCTCCTTTGACATCTAACAGTGATGAGTTACGCTACCATATATTTCCTGTAATGTATAAGCACATTTTTTGTTATAAAGAGCAATGAATGTATTTATTATAAATTTTAAACCTACTTGTTAATCTCGTTATTAATACTAACATAATTATTATATGACAAAATGTTCGCAATTATAATATTCTTCAAAAAAATGTTGCATACAAAAATATTGCTTGCACCAGGAACATCGTATTACAGCAGGTGCACCACATATGGAACAGCGAGGTATTTCTTGAATATCGTTTCTGTTGAAAGAAAAATCTACTGGAGTTTCGAATTGTGGCGGCCATTCTTCGATGTATCCACGCTTATACCAGGCATATTTAAAAAGATTATGAAATCGCGTAGAAGATAGTTGTATATGCGTTAAAGATTGTAATTTGATGATATTATTTCTCAAATGTCAATTTCATAATTTAGTAACATAACGCGATCACTGAAAGTTCTCACAAAGTTTTTCCATAGTCTAAATCTATAAACGTCAAGAGGTTGAATTATTCCCGTTGTTTTCTTTGGTATAGTTAAAATTCGTATATCTTTATCTTTTTTTGGTATAAATTCTTGCAGACTTGCAGAACAATGTCTGCTCCAAGAATCTAACAACAGCACACTAAAATTTCCAGTTGCGGGTACAAATACATTTGTAAACCAAGACTGAAAGTGTTGTGTAGTTAATTTGCCCGATTTTGATGCTGCAATGTAAACATTTGCAGGTCTAAACAAACTTTCCTCTACGCGTGGTCCGAAATTTCCACTAGCTTCTTTCAGTATCAAATAGAGAGGCGACTTCCATTGTCCGCTTGCAGAAATTATGGGCATAATTGTGTAACTATATGCGTAGTTGCCGATAGCGATTGAACTTTCAACTGTTTTAACACCTTGCGTGGTCAGTGTTTTGCCTGAATGTAATTCTAAATTGAATCCACTTTCGTCTGCATTATATATATTCTCTAGTTCAAAAAGATTTATATTAGATTTTATGGTAGCTATGAATTCCTGACATGCAATTTGTAATTGCTCTTTATCTTTTTGCGCAGAACGACTTACAAATTTTGTTATTTTTCTTGACACAATTCTATATTTTCTTTTAAAATTTAATATCCATGTTGCACTAGCTTTAAATGAAGAAAGATCGATTTGTGCCTTGGCTTCTAGGGCCCATCGTCATAAGTCCATATCATGAATAATTCTTTTTTCGTCATCAGCTTCTTTAAAATTTTGTAAGATATATTCGGAAATATATAACATCTTTTCTCTATGGGTACCTCCTTTTTGTATGTAATGTTCCCATCGATATAGTTGCGGCAAAGACTTCACCTTTTTAAAACGATTTTTTACCGATGATAAGGAATACCGTCCCTTTTTTGCACTTTTCCAAAATTCAACAGCGCTTCTCTTATAGCCATCATTAACAATTTCATGTTCTTCTGAAATACAATTATCTTCTGCTTGATCATCTTCTTCAAGTATTTCTATTTTATAATCGTCGACAAAATCTGCATCGAGTAAGTTTGATTTCCAATAATTTTCAAATTCTAACGTAGTATCAGTATGAATATCACATGACATTTCATTCATTGAAAAGTGTATAATATCCTTATTACATCGCGTAATTCAATTTCTTTATCGTTTACAGGTGTTTCCGGAATTTTTGAAATTTGAAAAAAGATAATTAACGTATTGAGAATATTTGAAGGATTCACTTGTACCATTTTAAAGATTTGCACTGTTTGACTTTGACTTTGTACTTGAATTATTCGTTATTTCTTGCTAATTGTGCCTTATACTGAAATTATTACAAGAACTTTGTGATTTATATAGTAATTTCAAGTGACTAATAATCAAGTGACTAATAATCAAGGACTAATAATAGATAAGATGTTTTTCAAGCACATACGTCATATATGATATAAAAATGACGCTACTGTCGCTTGAATATTTATGTAGCATTTTTTTGAAGAATATCATAATTGCGAACATTTTGTCATATAATAATCATGTTAGTATTAATAACGAGATAGTATAATAACAAGTAGTTTTAAAATTTATAATAAATACATTCAATGCTCTTTATAACAAAAAATGTGCTTATACATTACAGGAAATATACCGTAACTCATCACTAGACTGCGGATTTTTATGCAGAAACATTTTTTTGGATTCAGGTAATAATAACAAAAAATCTGTACTAATCTCTAACGATTTTAAATTGTTTCATGGATGCATATCGAGATATGCACAAAAATATGCATTATTTATGCAGCATATATGCGCGATATGCATTATTTATGCAACATATATGCGCAATATGCATTATTTATGCAGCATATATGCGCAACGCTTATGGAAAAAGACATTGAAAATTTCGAAAAAACACTGAAAATTAGGTGTTAACACTCAAAGTGAGTGTTAACACTTAATTTTCAGTGTTTTTTTGAAATTTTTAGTGTCTTTTTCCATAAGGGAATATATAAAATACATACAGATAATATGCACCTTATTTACAAAATTCTATGCGTAATTAATAATTAGTAATCACGCGAACATGAAGCAATACACATAAATTATGTAACATAATACTATTGATTGTAATTTAAATGACAATAAATAACAAGAGTTTTTTGAAGATTAGCCGGAGTGAAATTATGCCTTTTTTCTGATAGAATTAGTTTATAAGTAAATAATGATCTTTCAACATCACAGGACGTAACGGGAGCATATTTATATTTGCTCCATAAAGAAGATGAAATCTCTTTAGCAATTTCAGAATTAGGTATATGTTTTAATATGTCATTAACTCTAAATAGTTCCTCCACTCCAGGATTTCTATTTAGAATCTGCTGCATTTTTTTTGCAACTATTTGTCCACAAGATCCTGGAATTGTTTTGAAATCTTCAATACACGATCTTGCTATTTCAATTGATTCAATTAAAGGTAATCCTATTGATTCCAGTTTTGTCATTACTATTGGAAGATTTGTGAAGTATGTTTGAATATAACATAAATCTCTGATAAGCTGTGGATTTTGAAGCACAGTCTTCGCAATGGCAATCCCGAATTTCTTGAGTTAAATAACATTTTATTATCTTTTTACTTCCATGTGTATCAAAATGTTAATCAGTCTACTTCTGTACTTATTTTAACATAAGTAACATTCATTTTAACATAATTAACGTATGTAAGTAAATAAATTATAGAGTCAAATTAAAACATCTTCTTGAGTTAAATGATTTAACTGCATCATTAAATTAATGATATATTGAGAAAAATGAGGAGAAGGATGTTGTAATTTTACAATATTTTGATAAGAGCATTTTTTAAATATTACTCGCGCGAATATATTTTTATGTAATAATAATAATATATTTTTTTATAATAATAATAAATCTTTTTAAATATAAATTTTTAAATGTTCCAAAGTAGTCAACGGTAAGTAGCTTCATAATAAAATTACCTCTATCTATCATAAATATTTTTAAAAATAATAATTTTTTTAAAAAGTTCTGAAAATTGCTGCCAACATAGAGTTTTGAGGGGTGAAATCAGGCTTCATGTGTGAAGCGATTTTCAGCTTTCTTCGCTATATCTCGAAAACTATTCGAGATATAAAAAAATGTTTTATACAAAAGATTTACAATAAAATTATTTCTGTTTACTGACATCAATGATATTTTTTTGAATAAATATTTAATAATTTTTTTCGAAAATTTTGACAAAAAATTGATAAATAATTATTCTAAAAACGTGAATGAATATAGCTGATTTTGTTGTAAAACTTTTGTTGTAAAAAATATTCGAGATATAAAACGTTTTTTTATATCTCGAATATTTTTCGAGATATAACGGAAAAAGCTTAAAACCACTGTATACGTAAGGGGTGATTTCATCCCTTAAAACCGTTTTTTAACCGCAACTGATATTTTCTAAACTCATCTCTTTATGTAAGCTACAAGTTTCATTAAAATCAGAATTTATCACCTCGAGTTGTTCCCTTGTTAGTTGGAGCAAACATGCATAAATATTAATAAATATATTATATGTGATGTTGTAGACTATCTTACAAAACCGCCATTGTTTGAATAAAAGTTTACTGTATAAATTGCTAGAACCAATGTTTGGCATGGGATTAGTGACAGCTCCTGGTAAGATATATTTAGTCAAATAAACACTTATTTAATTGTAAAACTCATTTGTAACTAAGAGAGATAGATCTATATATAAAAAAATGTTAACAATAAAGACTATCATCTTTATAATCATCTATTATGTAAAATAGAGAATGCAACATGAACGATATTATGGCTGCATTTAATTTTATTTTGTATTTCACTTATATTTCTAATAAGTCTTAATAAGTTTTTTACTTCATAAAAGATATTTTTGTTTGCACCTTAAAAACTGCGCCACGAAGCTGATAAAAAGCAGCTTATTTTTAAATATTTCTTTTATTATTATAAGGCTTGATACTTTTCTTCCCTTTTATTATTTTTTTATAATATTTAATTTAGCATCTACATGGATTGAAAATCGAAAAATGATAGCTCCAACTTTTAGTATGATCATGTTGAAGGAATTTTTTAATACATTCGTTCAAGAATCTTTAATACTTACTAATGATTTAGAAAAAATTGCACAAAGTGGAAAGGAAATTGTATGTCTTGAATATCTACGCAGATGTATCTTAAAAATTTCTTATGGTAAGATAATATACTTCATTCTACTTTTAAATTATGTACGTGTATAATAAAAACAATTACAAAGAACGATCGGAATTATAAAAAATTTTTTAAATTAGAAGATTGTAATACAACAATACAAAAAAATAATTTTAATTATTTATTATTAATTAAATATTATTCACAAGAAAAAAGAATGTTATGAAATTGAAAAAGGATGTTAAAATAGATTTACTTTTTGCATAATTGCGTAAATGAATCATTGGAAATTGTTTATGAGATCTTCTAGTCTAGAAGAGAATAATTATTTCTCTAGGTCCAGGAAAAATTATGAAAATCGTTATTTACTATTTATTCCTAGGAAAAAATCATTTATATAATTACAGATACCAATTATATTACCAGATGGTAATCATATATAATTATATATAAAATTGACATATTTTGTATACAATTATATCGTTGCCGTTTAGTAACTGTCAGAAAGCTTACACAAACGTGCTCGTACGTTTGTGAGCCAAAAGTAAAATATATTAGCGTTGCAGTTATTTTAGTTCGAAAAGATCATTTTTGCAACTAGATATATTAAATAAGAATGCGTTCTGATATTCACTGTCAGTGCTGAAGCTATACAGTATACGTTACGTGTGTTATAGATTTTCAGCACTGGCAGTGAATATTGCCTGGGGAGAGTGGTCTAAATCGGACCGTGTTCCAAATAGGACCTTTTTAATTTAAATGAATACGGTTAAGTAGATTTGCGTACTATTTATAATGTAAAGTTCTTATAAGACACCGAACATGTGATAGCAGTATGACTGTTCTCTGTCATAACATTCATAAAATAGACGCAAATATGTATTTTCAATCACTGTGCAAAAATTTTTTTAAAAAAGAAAATCCTTGTAAATCATTATTTAAAAGGTGTTAAAAATTTGAAAAGCAATTGATTTAAGATAATTAAAGAGTGTAGAATTCAAAAATATTAAGCATTTTGTGATCACTTTTGCGGTTTATTGTAAAATTTGTTCTAAAGTTCGAAAGAACCCGTGTCCAAATCGGACAGTATAGTGAATAATAACTTATAGGCCTAGTTGTAGTACTGGTGATCAGCTGATCAGATCTGATCCAAGCAATTAAATCAGTAAAATATCATGAGTCTTCAAACTCAGATTAGTTGAGTCTTATTGATTTCAATTCTAATATAATATAAACAGTCAGTAATTTCTTTTTCTGAAAAAATGTTTATCTTTCACTATCAAATTGCTCGTTTTTACTCAATACTAAGAAAAATACATTAAAATATTTAAAAATTTTATCTAAAAATCCATAAAAATAGAAGTTTTTGATTCGAACCAGGGGATGGTCCGATTTGGAACCAATGGTTCCAAATCGGACCAGAAAAAGCGTTTTTACATTTTCCATTACAGTTCAACACAGGTAAGAGATACGTTAAAATGGTCTAGAGCAAAAATGAAGGGAATTAAATGATCTTTCCAATGGCACCTTCGATTTTACGATCGGACTTTATTTACCTCTTATAGAGAGCAAAAACTGCAAATAGGTCCGATTTAGACCACTCTCCCCTACACATGTATCGTGTATATATGTATATATACAGAGTGTTCCGAGAGTTTTTGCCAATCGCTTTTATGTAGATAGAGCAAACTAAACTGAGTCGAAAAGTCCTCTACCATTTTGCAATTTTCGCAATAGTTAACAAGATATTACTGACTAAAAATTGCCAAATATTGGTCTTGAATAATTTTTATATGAAATACTATCCGATATGAAATATTGAAATACTACCAACTTTACAGAAAAACTACGAGAGACAAAAATCATTTATTTTCTCTTCGTAGAACTCTAAGAATTTTTTCGGAATTTTTTATCAACTTTTTAGTACCTACTGCATTTTCTTATTTTTACCAATATGAGATAATACGGCATTAAAAAATTCCGAAAAAATTCTGAAAAAGTTCTCAGAACTTTATGAGAAGAAAATTAATGATTTTTGTCTATTGCAGCTTTTCTATAAAGTTGATAGTATTTGAGTAAAAAATTATTTAAAACCAAAATTTAACAATTTTTAGTAATT